ACTATTAAGATAGATTCAGTTACGAAATTTTACAAGCTGAAACAGCAGTTATCATTGGAAAATTCGCATGCACATTGCGAGCGTACCCCATGTTCATCGGCGGTACAGCGTTCGGTGCGCGCTCTATTCACGAAATGTTCCGAGCGAAGTCCAGAGGATGGCGTTGAGGAAACGCCTTTTCGGTTTACGGACGCAATCCACTGCCGCCGGAGACAGGGGTCATCTGGAAAACGATGGAGCTCAAAGACATTGCAGCCGCTCTCGCCTGCCGGGTCCCTTGCAAGCTGCATATGTCCTCGGACAGTATTCTATGCTTTCTGTCGTTATTCCTGCACCCTATGACCCAGCAATGGTGTCCCGATGACCGGGGTACTGTTGCCATCGAAGCCACTGGCTCTAATTAAGTTTGCGAGTTTAAAACAGAAAAGAAAGCGCGAACGAAGTTCGGGCACAGCAGACACCCAACACCGGCGAAGCCTCTCATCCGGGACTTTCACTCTTTCTACACAATCAGAAAGGGGGAAAGCGCCGGTAGCCCTTTCCCCTTTTCTCTCTCGCCCTCTTTCAGTAAAACGGTCTATAGGGCCACTAAATAAGCTACGCTTAAAGTATCGACACTACTATCTTCTCCGATATTGTTGTGGGTGCCGCCATTTTGGTGCTTGTGGAGAGCAGACGCAACAGCCGATCGTCGTGATTCCAAGGTGCGACTCCCTCAGCATTAGATTCGGTGTTAGGAAGTTCATGTAATTTTTGTTTTTCTCTGTCGCGAACTGTTTATAAGGCCTCTGACACGCCAAAAAAAAAAAAAGAAATTCAAAGTGCCCGCCAGTGCACCCGAGATTTTGTTTGTTTGTTTGTTTGTGTGTGTGTATGCGTGTGTGTGTGTGTGTGTGTGGTGTGGTGTGGTGTGGTGTGGTGTGGTGTGTGTGGTGTGTGTGTGGTGTGTGTGGTGTGGTGTGGTGTGGTGTGGTGTGGTGTGGTGTGGTGTGGTGTGGTGTGTGTGTGTGTGTGTGTGTGTGTGTGTGTGTGTGTGTGTGTGTGTAACGCTACACTTTCTTAATTGACCGGAGTGGAGTGGCTTGGCTTGGCTCTTTCCCTGGGCAACGAGAGGCCGCAGAACTCTGGATTTGGGTCTGGTGCCAATGTACAGTGTTCATCAAACTTATTTGGAACACAAGCTAAGCCTACTGTTTTATTGTTCTATTTTTTTTGTTTTCTGTGTGCGTGCACAGCTAGCGCTAGCCCTAATCTATTTATCTTTGTGCCCCACTATGTCCGTAGAATACCTTCAGTTCACATAAATATGCGCAGTTCTCTCATATTGTATCGTTTTTCTGTATTCAATATTCCACAAGTGTTCCGTATAAGTTTGACGAGCAAGGTACATTTTTTTTCCTCCAAGGGGCTTTGGATACATAAATAAAGCCACTTCTCCCCTCGCTAAATTTATGGAAATTATAATATAAACAGATGGTGATTTCCTTCGCTTCCACGAAGTTCCAAAAACTGTGTGACAAATAAGATGCTCGAATGGAGTTCGTATACTGAGTGCGCGAGAGAGAAAATGTTTAATTTATGGGAAAACAATTAAAAAAAAAAGAGGCGCAATGAAACCTGTAAGCCTTTGTGCAGTACCGATTTGAGGATACGCAACTTATGAGAACAAAATGGTGGATGAAATTACGTGAGCGAAACAAGGAGGTTAGAAGTACTAGGAGGGGGCACGTTGCAATACTGGTGAAGCCTAGTCATACAAAGTGTAAACGATGTTGTGGCCATCGTGACCGTAGATCTCTCTGGCGATTGGTGCGCGTGACATGTCACGTGTGATATGGATGGTTGATTGTAGGAGGATTCCTTGCAGGCTTGCGCGCGCTCCGTCCGGTAGGTTTTATCAGATCGAACGCTAGCTACGGTCTCGTGATGTGGTCATGTTGGGCGGCTGACGTCATGCCCTCTCCTACCCTTCTATCCTCCTTGAGTGGAACACCATTTCCCTCATCAAAGACGCCGACGGACTCCTGAAGTTTGGTCGTATCTCAGCAGTATTACTTGAAATCCTGTCAATACCACACAGCAACGCTGAATGCGAAAGGCAGTTCAGCGTAATAAAGAAAAATCGCACCCAGTTCCGCGCATTCATGTCTTACACAACCCTCGGTAACGTTCTTTTGGCGAAGTGTCACAGGGGCGAACATTGTTATGGTCGACAGTATTCCGAGGACTTCGTGTAAAAGGAGGCGTTAGCAACGTCGAACATTTAGCAAATCACCAGTGGTGTAGCTTGTTGGTAGTTTGGACGAAACAGTTCATTTCCTGCTCTGTTGTAAGTAAATAAAAAAAATGTGTGTAAAGTTATCCATTCTGTTGTTGCTACTACTTTTTCTCTCCCTCACTCCCCCCCCCCCCCCCTCCCCCCCCCCCCCCCCCCCCGCTCAGATCTCCCTAACGCCATCCCGGCGAGCCTGGCAGGTGTGCATTTCTATTAAAAAAAAACAAAAAAACTACGCAACTCTAAAGTGAAACAATTTCTCGGAAATGTCCTGATACACCATTTTAACGCCTAACATAACAACATATATTGTGTGTGTGTATGCGGGTTTCAGAGCCTTTTTAAACAGTTGTGGAGCACGGAAGAGCGTTTCCGGTGATTTCAGATAAAAGTTGAGATGACCATGATTTTAAGTCACAAGATGGGTAAGTTTTGTTACTCTGAAGCGCTGCTTATTTAGTGCCACTTTGTAGGCCATTCTAATAAAGAGCGTCTGGCAGGCACCACCTTCAGAGCCTTTAGCGTATAGCGCGATCTTCACTCTCTGTCATGTTTTGATGACAATGATAACGCCACTAAGAGACGAGGAAGATGCGCGAGGAACACGAGCACGGGAAAGTGAGGACAACCACGAGCGACTCTCAGATAAAAAAACAATTTAACTATGCTTTTTTTTTTTTTTTAAAGCGCAGTTTTTACCGCTTATTCACACTGGAAGCAGATCCGCGTTCGCAAAGCGGTTGTGAACGCGGGTGTATAAAAACCCAGTACAATGCCACGCGCACTTGATGTCATCGAGTGCGCGTGCAATTGCACGGGATCTTTATACAACCGCGTTCGCAACACCACCTGTAATGCAGAGGTCCCGGGTTCGATACCCGGACCAGGCGGATTATTTCGGTCGCGCACCAGTCACTTAGCTGCGTTCGGAGATTTGTGTTTGTCTCTTGTTCCCCTGCTTTGCGAACGCGGATCCGCTTGCGACGAATAACTGACGAGCGTCGCCCGACGGCAGGATCGCTTTGCACGCGACGAAAAGGTCAACCTGCTTAAAAGCTGATTTGCTACTTCGCAAAAAAGAAAGAAGTAGGGTTGGGGACAAGAAAGGAGAGAAAAAAAAAAAGAAGAAAATAATTATATAAAATAATACATACTTACAGTATATACAACAACCTTCTATAACAGCTTGAACAATCGAGTATGAGAAAGAAAATGAATCCGTGCTTTCGTGTCCTTCCATGCGTCCCCAGACGCTGACCAAGGCCCAAGAAGGTGGTGCAGTTGCCAAGATGTTCATTTGGTCCTAGTCCTAGATGTATTTTTAACGTTTTTCTTTCAGAATGTATTTCTTGCATATACATAACAGATGGTCACTATGCCACTCATTCTCAGAGTTCCACTCATTGTCGCTAAACGCCTACACCAGTATAAATTTTGTATCGTAAAAAAAGCTACAACAACCCGATTTAGATTCGAAAAGCGCCAGAAAACAAGGACAACAGAAGGAATAGACGAAACGATGCGCTACTGTCAACTGAATTTTTATTCGCAAAAACAAATATATATATACACACCCAACCAACCATTTGGTTGTAATCAAACTTCTCGTGAGATGAATTCAAATTCCTTATCTGATAGAAGTACTGCGGAAGTGCTGATACATGCATCGCCCTTCACCCTGATTTTAAAAGCTTGGAAGATTTCTCTTTTTGTATGATATGCCGTTCATAAAACTTGAACCAATCTTAGAGAAAATCGTAGCCCGACTTCCCCCCCTCCCCATCACTAAAAAAGATCCCACGCGGTAGTTAAATCAGACATTGAGGTTTTTTAATCGCAGTCACGTTGGCCTCGATGTTGTTTTTGTAAACATCTTTATTAAAGAAAAAGGAGAAAAGGGAGGGGGGAGGGTGATAAGGGTAGAAAGAATGAGAGGAGTTGAGTGGGTACCTCTTGTCCGAGGCTTCAGTTGCCTTGAGTGCTGTCATGGCGCTCTTGACGAACGTCTTCTGCGTTGAGAATAACTCGCTCTGCACAAACGTTGTGTTCTCTCTTTCAGCGTGTTCTTGTCGGATCCATTGGTCTTTACACAGTTATTATCTGTGACCATCTCGTCTGCTCGTTGACTCTTATTTCAAGGCAGAACTCACCGACTCGACGTTGACTGCAACGCTCATATTTATTGAAACATCCTGGAGGCCTTTTGATACGAAGAGAGTCCCACTCGACTAAAACACGACCAACTGCGCTCCCACATGAAAAAAAAAAAAAAAAAAGAGCATATTGCCCAAGATGCGATCACGTTTCAACGATGCCGGTTGGTGTAGAACACGCTATGGCTCTTCACCCCTTGATTGCATCGAAAAAAAAGCCATAAAACCTGGTTCAGACATTTGCGTCGCGGTTCCGTCCAGAGTGCCCGGAACGACAGCAACGACAACGTCTTCGGGACAGGAGGTCACAGTACACAACTTGACAAACAATGGAAGATATAGCTTCGTGAAGCGATCATGAGTCACGGTTGTCTCGGTGTTCCGGTCGTTACTGTCATTTTGGTTGTCATGAACGCAACCAACGGTAATGCGTGAACCAACCTTATAGGTTACAAACAACGCGTTCTCATTAAACTTGGGGACACTGAAAGTACGATCTTGGTCTAGCTGGGCTGAGCTTAAAGACCTTGTTCACACCATATGCTCAGCGTGTTCACGCACTCTTCAGAAGGTCATCGGGCCTCCTGTATCCTACGCACGCAACCCAGCAGTACGAGTATGTCGAGTTTCCGGACGCAGATGACGAATGGACGGTTCACGAGGAACTCGAGCTCGTGCGGCGCCGCCGCGTCCCTCTCGCTGTTGCTGCGCGGGGTCGAGGTGATCGTCGAGACGCCCTCGTTCACGGACAGCTCAAGCTTGTGCACGACCCAGGTGAGGCTGACGGGAGTGGCCGTGGTCACGGTACTGAAGTTAGCCTCGTCCGTGAAGGCCTCGCGGATGCCGAGGTCCCTCAGCACGTCGCCCAACTCCGTCTCGAAGGCGGCCGTGAACTTGGGAAGCTCGAGTCGCATGCGACGACGCGTTCTGCTCACGGCCTCGAAGACCTGCTGCAGGACCTGCGTCGAGAGCGGGACGATCGCTCGGGGTGTTACCCGATGCCAGACACGTACGCGTTACTGAAATCATGCAACGAAATACCCTTACTCGTTGCTCATTTATAAAGTAACTAAGTACGTTGCTCGTTACTGTGCTTTGAAAAGAAGGAGTTTCTCAGCTTGAAAGTAACATGTTATTGTCTCGTTACCTTGAATGTGTTGCTTCCAATATTTGTCGTCGTTAATTACTCCTCGCTTTTTCCCGAGTTTATTTAGGAATAATGGCTATACTGGCGTAACTTGATCGCCTCTTTTTATGGTCTATCCAGCGTTGTCTTGATGTGCAAATTATAGGCACAAGCTGGGCTGACAACTAGGTTGGGCGCTCGTGGTGTTCTCCAGGGCCCGTTTGCTCGAAGCTGGTTAACTAACCGCGGTTAACCGGATTTCCCTACGAGGGGGAATTTTGGGTCACGTGACCGGCAGAGCAAGGACGGCGGGGAAACATGGCGGTGCCCCGGTGAGTGAGCGCCGCTCGCTTTGGAACTAATACGTCGTAGTAGCTGCAGTAGCGGGCGCGTTAGTCAGCAATGAATGGTGCAGGAGGTTTTCGCGTTGCCTTACCTCACTTAAAACGCCAAACATGAGCAACGACCTCGCCGCATTTTTTAGATAGACTTTCGACTCTGGCCATTCCTAAGCCTAAATGAACGCGATAGTTGTCGGCATGGCAACGTCTTTGGAAAGTGGATTGCCTTGACTCAATCGACCGGGTATTGATAGCACACAAAGGCATGCTACGAGTGTAGTTACACGCGCTGGACCTGCTGGCGTCTGCAGTAATAACTGTTCTGAAGCAAAAAGCCTAAAACGGGGGCATGAGGCATCGGGGACCCAGGACTGGCCGGAGGACTTCAAGGATGGTGTGATGTGTGTGGACTTGGAGGGACAAAGGGGTTTCGTCCAGCGAACCCGGCGCTTGCTTCACCGGCAGACTGTGCGTAGGTGTGTTGGTGCAGGGGTGACGGAGGGGTAGGGGTTTTCGCAGGGCCAATAAAGAGGTTTTCCACCACCACCACCAAATTTTACCGTGCACGCGCGTTCGTCGAAGATTTATTATGATTGTTTACTTCAATTCCTCTATAAGTGGAACGCCAGCGCGCGCGGATTGTAGAATTACACTTCCAGCGTTCTTCTCGATGTTCGGGTAATTTACTAAAAGGTAAATTTTCAGTGGAGCCGAGTTACAGGTTTTTTCAATTTATGACGGTGTTATATACACTTCTTACATGTTGGCCAACCATGCTGCCGATGTACCGCCCGCCTTTCACTGCTCACTTTTTTCTCATCGTTTCTAGGACTCAACTTCGTCGTCCTCTTTCGAACTCGGAAGGAAATTTCAACGAGGCTTTTCTTCACTTCATACAGCCAAATATTTAGAAAATTTCGAAACAAGGGTTAATTTAGTTTTACCTTGCCGATTATTTGTACCACGAGCAATAAAAATTGCTTCTTAAGCTCAAATGTATGCCGCGCTCCGTCGCGAAAACCAGGCAGCGGGCATTTTTGGGTCCCCCCATTTCGGGAAACTTTCCACGGAAGCCACGTATATTCGCTACAGCCAGTAGGGGACACCAGCTACCACCCCATAATAAAACACGGAGCTATCGCTCATCCAGCCCTCGTCAAACTTGGCTAGGTACTTGTAGGTACCTAGTAGGGAAGGGCGGTTAACTTTTAACCGCGGTTAAAGTTAACCGGCTTCGAGCAAACGGGCCCAGAAGTAATTAAATACCGTTACGCGTTACTTCATCATAAAGGAACGAGATACTTCTCTTAAAAAAAGTGATAATTACTTCATTACAAAAAAAAAGGAAAGAGCTACAAGCAACCTGTTACTCGTAACGCGTGAAGTACAAGACTACCCAATAGCAACTAGAAGACAAGGCCTGCGCACAACGTCATCATCCGTGGATCCCCAAGCGGCAAACACGCTGAAGCTCAACTAGACACCGCAAATCGGAAGACCCGTCCGTCTTGCTAGCGTCGCGCTTCCTGTGAGACTTTGCGAGACCCGCTGGCGGTGATGGTGATGCAAGCTAGGCGGCGCTGCGACGACCTACTACTTATGACGTGGGTGACGTGGGAACACACCCAGTGAGCGAGCACATCCAACGGGCCCTACATCTATCAGTGAATGTGTTTATGGTCGGATATGATGCCACATATGTACGTACGTGTTGACGCAATGCATATTCTGGTCGGCTACCAGGCACGCTATAATATTAGGCTACAATGTATCACCCATCGCTGTAACTGCAACTATTTCACTATCGAAGCACTTTCTCTCCAGACGCAAGAACGACGTACGTATTCGAACCATTATAAATAAATATTAAAATTGGTCTGACAATCGAAGGCTTTCTCCGTTCGAAAACCAAATACCCCTGTAGCAGAGAGCAGTTGCTATGGCGGAAATTAGCAGCTTCCACAACGCTTTAGAAACGCCGAATCACGATTGTTGTTCGTGGGAGACCCCTGTTTTTGTCGGGGTGGACATATTCTCTGTTGAGTCGAACGTGCACAGTGGTCGAAAGCACGGTGTTCAAAGCCACCTGGCGCGTGTCCCCAAGTAACTTGGGGCATATAGTCTCCGAGAATCTTCCACCAACCAAAGCATACGCGACAAAAGCCGCAAGATGGTGTGCGGAAACATCAAATATACTCGGGAAGTAAAATGGCCGAAGCATCATCGGTATAAAAGCCGGTTCACACATTTATGTCGGTTGCGTGCGCAGCAAACAAAACGACAGCAACAACAAAGTCACCGGGACAAGTGTTCGCCGCACACAAAGCGGCAAGCGATGCAAGAGGTCGCTTAGCGAATAAATCAGAAGTCACGGTTATCTCGGTGTGCTGGTCGTTTCCGTCGTTTTGATTGTGAATGCAACGATCGCAAGTTTGTGAACCAACCTTAACCGTCGGTATATGAATTCGCTCGATTGAATAAATACCAAATGGAAACCCTGCAGGAATTATTCCCCTCTGAGAACTCACTCACCTCTGAAGTTATGCTGTCACAGAGCTCGTTGAGCGACGTCTGCGGCAGGAGGATTGTGACGGAGAAACCGTCGCACATGAGCGGCAAGTCCACGGCACTCAGGGCGGGCTCCTGCAGGCAGGCGTAGCCGTAGGTGGCCGTGTTGCACATGGTCGTCACCCAGGCCGTGCTTCCGTCGAAGGGCCTCCGCGTGGCTGTGGGCCTCTGGAAGCCGTGCTTCCACAGCGTGTTCAGCCAGACCACGCTGAGCAGCACCATGCGCGTGGATGCGTCCAGCGAGCAGCTTGCTGGAAGAGCGCCCCTCACTCCCGTGTTACACTCGGCCCACATTTCGATAAGCCTGCGCTCCTCGCCGGGCCTCTGGGAGAAGTTGGCCTGGGACACCAGGGTGTGGTACACGCGCTCCCCGATCTTGCGGAAGGAGTCCGTGAGCGGCAGGGCGCTGGTCAGCAGGATTCGGTTGGCCATCCGGAAGACGTGGTGCTCTTCCTCCGGCGGCGGGCTGCCCGGCGACGGCAAGACCAGCAGTCGCCGCATGGACTTGTGGAACTGCGGAACCTTGGTGAGGAGCGCGCTGGCCATCTCGCGCTCGGTGGATCGCTGGGCGCCGGCCATGGCCAAGGACAGGACGGCCACGACGCCGAACGGGCAGACGAGCACGTTGTCGTCGGCGGGCCGATTGACGCTCAGGCGGCGGAGGAGGTGGCACCCCAGGACACGCACCACCTCGGGCGCATCCTCCATTCAGCCGGTCTGCGGGGCGCTGGCTGACGCCTCTGAGGAAGGGACCGCCATCTTGGGTTGCAGATAGGTTGGATTCGATTGGATTGTATTGGCCATTGAATTTGTAAATGGTGAACTAGAGTCACTGAATGTTCCCAGGGTACCGAAACTCCCAAGCTTCCTTTTCGAACTGAGTCGCCACGCAGCAGTCGCGCTCCAGACCATCCCCAATATGGCGCTGCCCATGTACGGTCGAAGCTAGTCGAATCGAAGCGCGTACAGTTAGTTCACTTTACTGCAGTGCAGCGCTCGTTCTCGTGCGAGCCACTGGTCTGGTGCGAGCTCTTCAATCCACTTTCCTAGTCTGTGGCGACGCTGGTTTCCTTTTTATTGCAGTTATTTTCTTCATTACGAATGGTGCGTGACTTGCCCCTTTCTGTCTCGTCTCTCTTTCTCGCCTCGAAACACATCGAAGTCGAATGTCAGGGGCTGTGTTCCAAAATTTACTCGATCCGACTCCGGAGTAAAAGTTTCGTATACCGTGGCGTTCCAAAACTTACTCGAGCTTACTCGATGACGTCAGAACTCGCGTTCCAGAAGCGGGTTGTTTACTCCGGAGTAATTACTCGCGCTACCCTCCTCGATCGGGGGGTAAAGTCGGATCAAATCGAGTAAATACGTCACGTGATCTGTTCGTCGTCTGCTTTCTGCGCCGACAGCCGTCAAAGCTCGCTTGCTCCGTTGGTTTTGGTGGCGGACGTTCGAAATGACAAAGAATTAGGTGCAGCATGTGTGGTTATTGTGATTTGCTGTTGTCAACGCAGGAATTGACTGCATTACATCCAGACCGTCCACCTTCCCCGGGAACGTGTACTTGTTATTATCTGAGTGCGAGCGTAAACAGGAGCTTCTCCGCATCCTCGTCCTCGGCGTTGGGGGAATGCCGTAATCTCACGTTCAAAGCCGAAAATGTTTGAACTCGGTATATGATAATGTAGTATTTTTGTTTCCTCCAGAGTGTGTGTAATGAGAGCATAACGTTTGTAAAACAGTGAAGGCTTTGAAAATTTTACTGTAATCACATTCGCGTCAAAGCGAACGCGAGTTTCATATCATTCTGGAGAAAGCACCCTCGCGCTGTACCGCTTGTGGGATTTCCCTTGCTGCTACCCGTCTCGGAGAATGACACAGCACACCGGTTCAACAACACGTAAACATTTAATGACCGCTATCGCCTGCGCCGCGATCCCAACAGCCCCCGCGCATCCGCTGCGACGGCCTTTTATCAGCGGCGGAGCGCCGCTCGCGTGGCCAGTTGCCCTTGGCCCCCTCGTGGCCAAGATGACCACTTATGATTGTCGGAGGGGCAGCCTGGGCCAACCGCTTGGAATCGCCAGGTTGCCCACACATCTCCCCCCTTCCAAAAACGAAAACAGAGGACGTCTTTGATGGTCTTCGGGGGGGCCTTCCTTCTTGGTCAGCAAGGGTCTTCTCAGATGAGCGAGCACGGGTCCGACATCAGTACTTCCGGACAGTACCGATGCAGCCATGGGGGTGGTCTGATGATGGGAGCTGCGTCGCCGCTGTCTGGCACGAGGAACTAGAAATTAAAAACAACATGAGGCCATGGCGCGGTAGGAAAAAGTAGCCGCGCACACGAAAGATGCCTGTCCCACTGTGCATGCGGGAGCGCGGACCATTTCTCTCCTCCCCCCCCAAAACACCGAAGAGGGCATGAAGATAATACGCTTAGAACTCGTGCTACTCCCGGTCGTCTTCACCGCCGTCTCAAGTTGTACCGCGGTAGAGACGGTGTGGAATCTTCCGAGAGGTGGTCCGGATAGTCGTCATCTGGAACCTGCGACACATCTACCTCCTCGGGTTCATAGAAAGCTTTTAGGTCGGCGACATGAATAGACCCGCACACTTCACCAGATTCACAATGCACCAGCTCATAAGACAGGTTGGAGAGCTTGCTACTAACACGGTAGGGGCCATCCCACCTCTTTGCTAAAGAGGCCGTGAAGCCTCTAGCAGCATCACTCAGCGGATGAGTTCGCCTCAGTACCAGATCTCCTACCTTGAACTGCAGATTTCGCCTCCCCTTGTTGTACTGGTTTGCCTGCTGCAGTCTCGAGACGTCGAGGCTCTCTCGAGCTTCACGCAGGTTCTCCGTGAAACGCTTCCGGAGATCTTCTGCGAACTGCGTGGTTGTGCGCTGCGTGCTTGCAGGATCTGTGCAAAGGAGGCCGTTTCCCAGGGGAAACACGAGCTCTTTTCCAAAGTTAAGTTGGGCCGGAGTAAAACCCGTGGACCGGTTGATTGTTGTGCGGGTAGCGAATGCCATTTCTGCTAATTTCGCGTCCCAGTCTTTGTGTCGCTCTGTATGCGATACAAGCATCTGCTTCAGGTTACGGTTCACTCTTTCCGTGATATTCGCCTGTGGATGGTATGGCGAAGTCCGTTTGTGCCGTATGCCTAGCGCCTTACACGCATCCACGAACACCTTGCTAACAAAATAAGAAGCGTTGTCTGTAATAAGCGTTGCGGCAAAGCCAAAGCGCGCGAACGTCTCGAGAAGACAGCCCCAGATTTTCTTAGAGTCTAGTTTGCGCAAAGGAAACATTTCGACCCATTTTGTGAAATGGTCGGTCACTACTAGCAAATACTGATTGCCGCGTGGACTACGGGGAAAGGGACCGACAACGTCGCAGGCAACACACTCCCAGGGGTACTTGCTTTCGACCGACTGCATTAAACCTGGTGGTTGGCCACCTCGGGGTTTTGCCTTCTGACAAACCGGGCAGCTACGAGCGTACCTCATCACATCCTGCCTCATACCTGGCCACGTTGCAATTTGGGACAACTTTGCGTAAGTTTTGCTCCCACTGCTGTGGCCTGCCAAGGCGGGATCATGCATATATCTTATAAATGACTTACGCAGTTTACGTGGTATTACAGACCGGAATGGCGGGCCGCTGGACCCATCGTCCGCCTGGGGGATGTATCGCAGCAGGATGCCGTCGCTGCTGAGCAGGTATGAGTCCAAGTCTCTGGGATTCCCAGCGTCGGCTGAGTTTTCTTCTGCCAGCTGGTGCATCACCTTCTGACAAAGTCCATCGGACAGCTGGGCCGCTCGGAGCTCCTCTCTGCTCACCAGGGTACCCCACCGCGACTCTGGTGTGATGGGCGCCGCATTGGCCAGTGCCACCAAGTCGGGATCCACCTGCATTTCCTGCCCGAGAAGTGGAGCACGGGACAACGCATCTGCAACGTGGTTAGCCACTCCACGCTTGTACTCGATTGTGTATTTGTAGCGCTGGAGCGAAAGGGCCCATCGAGCGAGTCGTCCTGCAGGGTTTTGAAGCCCTTTGAGCCACGAGAGAGCCATGTGGTCAGTTTGAATGCTAAATGAAGCGCCGTCAAGGTACATGTCAAACTTCTTAAGCGCAAAAATAATTGCCAGGCACTCTTTTTCGGTCGTTGAGTAGTTTCGCTCCGCTCCGGTTAACGTATGACTGGCGAAAGCTACGGGACGAAGAACGCTGTCATGTTCCTGCAGAAGGACTGCTCCTAATCCGTAATCGCTTGCGTCGGTCTGCAAGACGAACGGACGATTCAAGTCGGGCAGGTTTAAACACGCGTTTTCAGTCACAGCCCTTGAAAGACACGCGAATGCGGTTTGCTGCTCTTGCCCCCAGCACCATTTCATTTTTTTGCGGAGCAATCGGTTCAGGGGTTCAGTTATCTCAGCGCATTGCGGAATAAAATCTCTATAAAACGCAATCATCCCGAGATATCTCTGTAGGCTTTTGACGTCATAAGGGGGTGGGTACTCCGTTATTGCGCGCAGCTTATCTTCATTCGGCCGCAGCGTTCCGTTATCCACAACAAATCCGAGAAGGTTGATTACAGGCGATGCCAACTGGACTTTATCTGGATGAATCGTAAGGCCGGCTTGACGCATTCGTTCGAGTATGGTCTGAAGGTGCACGAGATGCTCCTCGAATGTTCGTGAAAAGACCACTACGTCATCCATGTATGCCATCGCAAACTCGTACTTCGCGTCACCGAGGACAACGTCCATTAGGCGTTGAAAGCTGGCGGGAGAGTTGGACAAACCAAAGGGAAGGCGAGTGAATTCGAACAACCCCCTATGGCAAATGAATGCGGTCTTCTTTACATCAGCCGGATGAACTTCGATTTGAAGAAATCCGCGGCTGCAATCGAGGGTTGTGAAAACAGTCGCGTTTCCAAGGGCATACATTACTGAGGAAATACTAGGAAACGGGTAACTGTCTCTGACTGACACTTCATTTAGGCGCCTGTAATCAACACAAAGCCTTGCTGTGCCGTCCTTCTTTGGAGCAAGGACTACCGGGGAAGCCCACGGGCTTTTTGACTGACGTACTGCGCCTGTGTCGATCATTTCCAATAGCGCCGCATCAAGAAGTTCGCGCTTGTGAGCACTTATGGGTCTCGGATTGCACCTCCGGGGAGGTGCATCCTTGGTTTCGATGCGGTGCTGTAGGAGATCGGTTTTCCCAGGTCTTTCCGTGAACATCGGCGAGAAGGGTTCCAGCAGTTGCTGGAGCTGCTTCTGTTTGTCTTCACCGGAACACTTTTGCATGGCTTTGAGCACGCTGTCTGGAAGTAAAGGCATCTGCCCGGCAAAGTTTAACGGGAACGCTTGGCCGCGAATACAATCCTGCCGTCTGGTAAACGGCGTTAATTTCGTTTCGCCACCCAACCAATATCCAGCCTGGGCAAAGTCGAGCAAAACCCGCTCCGCTGCAATAAAATCTCTACCAAGGATCATGGGCACCGGCAGTTCTGGGAGGTATACGAACCGTTGTCTTCGTTTTCTACCATGAAAGGAAATTCGTAACCTGACTGCGCCGGCAGCAGGCAGTACGGACCCCGATGCTACTTGCAATTTCACGTTTGCTGACCGAAGATGTATCTTTCTCTTGTTACATTCCGCAAATACTGCATCCCCAATAAGCGATATGTTTGCTCCA